AATAATAATAACAATAATAGTGATTGCAATAATAATATTGATAACAAGTATAATGATAATGATGAAACGGTAATAAGATGATAGTAATAATAATAAAAATAGTAATACTACTAATAATAATGAAAATAATAATAACAATAATCATGATAATAAAAACATTGATAATGATATTAATGATGACGACGACGACAACAACAACAATAATAATGAAATAATAATAATAAATAAAGTTATTAGATATAATGATAATCATAATCAAAGTAATGATAATAATGATAGTAATAATAATAATAACAGTAATAATAATAATAACAGTAATGATAATAACAATGGCAATGATGATAATAATAATGACAATAACAATACTACTACTATTACTACTACTACTACTACCGATAATAACACCAATGATAACAATAATAAAAAATAATGGTAATTATAGCAATAATAATAATGATGGTAATAATAATAGTAAAAATAAAAGTAATAATAATATCAATAATCATAATGATAAAGGTCATGATAGTGATAGTGATATTAACAATAATGGCAATAATAATAATGATGATAATAATAATAATTAAATCAATAGTAATGATACTAATAACAGTGATAGTAATGGTAATTATAATAGTAATAATATTGACATAGTAAGAGTATTGATATATACAAATTATCATTATAATTGCAATGATAAAGATGATAATTATAATGATAATGAAAATTATAACAAAGTAATAATAATAAATTTAAATGATAAAAATGTTAATAGTGGTAATAATAAAAACAGTGCTGATGATGATGATTATAATTATGATGATGATGATGATGATGATGAAGATAATAATAATAATAATAATAGTAATAATTGGTAACAACAACAATAATAATAATTACAATAATGGTAATAATAATGATAATGATAATAAAAATGAAAACGTTGATATTATTAATAATGATAATAACAATAATAATAATAATAATAATAATAATAGTAACATTGTTAATAACAAAGCAATGATAGTGATAATAATAATAATAATAATAATCATAGCATTAATGATGATAATGATACTAATAATAATGACGATATTAATGATAACAATAATAATGATAACAATAATGATGATACTGTTCGCCGAATTTCTATTGCAATCGCCTGCAAACTGCAAATTGCTTATTGTCAGGGCCACAAGTGTTTGGTTTCCGGAATACTATATTTTGGCCCCAAGACATTATGAATGAGCAGAATTCTGATGAATGAAAAATTAAGAAGCAAACATATTCCAGCGAAAACGTTCCCTTGGATCGTTTTGTATCAAAATATATCTGATGAACCCAACCTTAAACCATCTGATTTGAAATTTGGATCGAAAACGGTTACTCTTATGAAAGAACACAATTGCACTGTTAATAAAATAGAAGACCGAGGTATCCGCACTTCCGAATTTCCTACTGTTTAATCAGTATAAGCTGAAAACTGGGTTAAACCATTATCGTGTCTGCTTCCTTACAAAGCGATAGTTTCCTTGGATTAGGTTAATGTTTAGACTAAACATAACTGATCATAATTCTTTGTCTTGATTAAATCTGGACAAAATGATAAATTCATTTATTATCAAACATATTTAAATATACAATTAATATCTGATTATTTTCATTCATCCTATTATAGGAAAATTAAGCAAATACCAATGGGTCAAAAAGGTTTAAAAGAGATCTAGCCAAGCTTTTCTTCAGCCACGGTCAACACTATGAAGCCAGAGCCATCATTTCAGCGTTTTCTTGGGGGCTATTCAGCTATTCTATGGGCATTTCTAAACTATAACTAGAGCTATATAGGTATGAAAGAAAAATCAAGACTACTAACAAGTGGTGGCGGTGTGGCCCTTTTGGCGGGAGCAGCCACCGCACAGTCTTGAGGGCGGCAACTTCCCCCCACCCCTCAGCACCTCCTCTCAATTGACTCCCCAGTACGTAGCACAAAGCAGGGTTGGAATAGCTGAGAAAGTCTAGGTCACTGGTTCCCAAAGTGGGCATTACCGCTCCCCCGGGGGCGGTGGAAAGATCGGGGGGGGGGTGAGACAAAAAGGGGCTGAGCGGGGCGACAGGATGGCATTACGAGCATTTAAAAATTAATATAAATATACATATATATATATATATATATATATATATATTTACAATACTACTAAATAAATTGGTTTACTAAATTAGGTTTTATTTATGAAATACGCCTTTGTGTTTAATATTGTTACTTTCAATTCGAAGCATACCAATGTAAAAAGGTGTGTAGGGAAGGGGGTTCCTAGGAATCCAAAGCCAGCGCCAGCCTGGGAAAGTCTGAGAACCACAGGTTGCCACAGCTAATAGGAAATCATGAACACGTATTAAGGTATACAGAAAAAATGGACAGTTACGTTTTGTTTGTTGTTTTATACTGTATTCGGTATTAAACTGCAGACATAAAAAAGTGTTTTATTGTATTTCCATTTGAAAAGTATTTCTATTATAATTTAGAAATTACTCGCATTTTCTATTTAGTGTATTGTTTCGCATATGTAATTTGGTTTGTTTTCCATTAGTCTATTTTTTTGTAAAAATGTGTAAAATGATTTTTATCACTTTCTTTTTAGTGTATTGTTTTGGCATTGTGCAGGTCGGGCATTTCAAGTTATTTTTCGTTAGTTTAATTTTTAGACGCCTGTATAAATTATCTTTAGCATTTTCTATTAAGTGCATTATTCTAACATTGTACTATCTGTCGACAAAATTTGCACTTCTATCACACAACACACACACACACACACACACACACACACACACACACAAGATAACTATTTCGCATCAGCGTCTGTATAAAAAAAAGAGCCTAAAACAGTATAGCTTGAAAGGCACAATTCGCTTTTTTCATTTTCTCTTTTTTTCATATTTTGTTATGCATTGTTACTTAATGCACATGCCAAGACAATTATTTGATTGATTGTAAATAGCTCTGACGTCAACTTGATTTCGTAGG